TTAATCTGTAGAATGTAATAATAATTTCTTTTCTTTTTATAAAATAATACCTTATCATTATACATAGAATTTTATCAGAATTAAGATCAGTAATCTCGTCTACAATAATGGAAAAGAGTCACCTATATCTTCTACTAACTCTACTTCTTAACTCTCTTCTACTAACTAATAAGAAGTATACAAAGCGCAATAACATTTTTCAATAACATTGTACTTAATTTCTGTAATTTTAACTTAGATAATACTATACCACAGTATAGATAATACTGTGGAGTTTGAATCTATCTTCGGAAGTAATTCACATAATGATTAACTGTGTTTATTGATGAATGTTCTGCAATAAATATACTTAATTTAATTCTGTTTTTTTTTGCATATTTGTGTCAAATTCGGTGTCAAATCAACATATTTATTTAATTTAGCTTCCTTGTCGAGTTCAACATGTCGTTTGTGTTTTAAAGATTTACAATGGTTAAGTAAATCTTTTTTGTGAGCAATTAAAGTGGATATATTTATTATATTATGGAATATTATAATATTATATTTATATGGATATATTAGGTGTACAACTTTGTTTCCGCCGTTTTATAGATGGCTTTAGCGGTAAGTGGTGGTCGAAATAAATAGATCATAGACGTCATACAATAAATTTGGGCATCTGTCAACATAACCCCATAGAAACATTAGTCGATTTGAATAGAAACATCTGCATCATAAAGTTATTCTCGATTGAAAATGTCAGTTTACGAGCCAAATTCTCGTCATTTGCGAGAGGTTTTAATTTTTTACTTCAATATGAAGAAATCTGCGGCTGAGGCTCATCGAATGCTCTGAAATACTTAAGGTGAGGCCACTATTAGTGAAAGAACGTGTCGTGAGTGGTTTCAATGCTTCAAGAACGGTGATTTTGACGTCCAAGATCATGCTCTGTATTTGGTGGGATCAACTCGGCGTAGTGTATTATGAACTGTTAAAACCGACTGAAACAATCACAGGCGATCGGTATCGAACGCAATTGATGCGGAAGCAAAGTTGTACACCTAATATATATATATATATATGTATTTATTTATTTATTTACATGTCTACTGGTTAGAGTAACGGAAATAAAAATACGTTAATGTGACATAACATACATTTTGAAAATCTTATAATTCTTCTTCCTGTCGTTGCAAATAAATATTTTAAATACATTTTGCAAAGCACAATTCTTATCGTGTCTACCACATCGTATAGTGTTACAATCATCCAGATTAGTTAAAGATTCCATGTCTTCGTAAACTGCATTCATGATTTCAATATACATGTATTCTCGCTCATCGTCCAGAAGCAAGTTCCACAGCCACTTTCGTTTCTCGCCTTAACGTACACGATAACACCGTCTTCAAATACAGCCGCCATGATTAGGCATTTCGCCTCGTTGTATGGGACTATCTCATCCTCTCATAATAATCCATAGTGATAAATATTAAACCAGGAAGCGCAAGACCTGTTGGAACTTATCAAAAATTTTCACGGGACTTGTAAAAAAATGTAATGTGTTAGAACGGTTCTCTCTTTCAGCAGGTCTGCTACTTCTTTGACGATAAACTTCTTGTTAACGACGAACTTTGCAGATACACAAACATTGATATGATCATGACGAGACTATTTCTTACTGTGCTTTACCCTGGTCTCCTTTTTAAAGTTCTTGCAATTTACATAATCTTGCGTACTATGTTGGATAACGGACAGTACTCGACTATACGATCGTGTATGATGAGACAGTAGGCAGTAGTATTGGCGGGCACATTCTCCTTGTAGTCAAATTTTATGCGTACATCCACAATGGTGTTCTTGACGAATTCGTTTTGTCGCGGGCAAAAGGCTCTTTCTCGATAAACGAGAGCACATTAAACAATGTTTTGAAGCAGTTGATTCCATAATATGCTTTAAGAAAACGCGCGTACATATCAAATAGGATGGCATATCTCTTTTTGTCAAAATCCATTTAATCGTCATATGGATAAAATTCTGAATTTAGATATACTTTTACATTATTCAAATTACAGTCGTCGAACACGCTAACATCTCGTGACATGGCATTCTTTCGACCGGTCTGCAGAGCAAAGATAATGGCGGCTTCTCAAGTTGAGTTTTGACAACCCATGAATGTTTGGTCGTAGTCTGTAACAAAGGATACTCGCACAGATCCCACTCATGCTCAGATAACCGTTTTCCAATGTTCGCAGTATTGATAATTTATTGATCTCGTTTAATGCAACATGAGACATCTGACACTGCACTTTGAATAATTCAATCTCAGACTCCATCACGGGATTTCCTACCAAGCAATTGTAATCGTTTCGCGTTCGTATCAAAATCAATTCGTGGCGAGCGTTGACGACCACGCATTTGTAATCCCCGCAAAAGCCCAACAGCATGTTAAGCGGCATGCAAAAATTAAAGTATCCTCCCTCTGTGTCGGATCTAGAGTTCCATCCTGCGTTTAAGGCAATCAAAGCTTTGTCGTACGTCATTGACATATAATTCTTGATGATACTGATAATTCCAACGTTTCTGTTGCGGTCAATCTCCACCGTTGAGTTCATATATGAATTTCATCCAACATGAATGACACGCAATTATTTTTAAATTATTGATTGTTTTTCTTCTTCACCATCAATCTTCCTTCGATATAGAGAAAACTGTCGCACGGCAACGTGTACAAATTCTGTTGCTGCATAAATATATGTATCTTGTCGCTATGCTCGTTAACATACGGATTGTGAGTCTCAATTTTTGACGACGTGGTCATCAAAAATCGACTCACCGATATTATTCAGGATATCAGCCATTTCGTACGATAAAATTTAACTTTATGCAATGTTAGACGCAGTGAGTTTCTTTCCAGATGCAGTCTTTGCAGTAAAAAGTGTATTTTTCATTTTTAGCTGTTCATTCAACATAAACATTTCACGTTAGCACCGCCGTATATGCAACCTAACTGCGATCTCTTCTCCGCGAAAATCAAGTAATCGATCGCCTTGGTTCACTATGCGTATCGTCAGATTTGTAATGCTTCGTACAACGATCGGAAGATAAATGATCTGCGTCGGCCTTTCCGATATCTTATATCCCGGCGGCAATTCCTCGGCGAAAATTCATGTATCGTGAATGCACCTGTTGTTGCTGTACGCACCCACGTGTTGCTCTCGATACGTGTGATATTCAAGTTGATATTTATCGGCACGTTCGATTCGTGCCACTGTTGTAGCTCCAGCACGCGATTCGATGAAAATCCTAGCAGCGAACCAATATTGTGAGGTTTTGCAAAATTTATCCTATAGGCGCATTTTATTTCACTTTTCATGTGTTGTTGGCGCGAATAACCAGCGAGAATTCTTCATCCTCCTTGCCCTTTTCATTGTGAGAACGTAAAATTTCATGCTTCAAATACCGCTCTATATCACGCAGTTCGTACGATCCTTCGGGAATGACAATTTCCTCATTGCCATAGAAAAACTTGTTTGTTGAATTTATATTGGCTAAAGTACAGTACATTTCAAAGTTCGTCAAACCGAGCTCGTAATCACCATCACTCAAATCTGTCGCTGAAAAGTAGCTCACGGCGAGGACGCTACTCTTGCCGATTAGCTTAAACGTCAGCGACATGTTTCAAACGAGTTAAACAGCGTCGGTTCTTAAATTGCTTGTCGTCCATTGATAGAAACTGTAGATAAAGCTGCCCGTAATTGTTCTGACTGTAACGTTGATGAGGTGTGCGATTGTACTCGATTACACTATTTGCCAGATGTCGTTCCTTCGGCGGTCGAACATTGCCGAAACTG